AAATCTGCAAAACTAGCCCTAAATCACAGCTTCACATTATCAGACAGCGGTGGAGACCTGCCGCGGCTGAAATCTCCCATGAAACAGATAAATTGCTGTAGTGAAAGATCACAAATCTGCTCTAACATCCAACATTTCCATTCCCAGTGTTTTGTCAGATGCTGCATACTTGAAAAGGACAAGTTATAGTTGCGTAGCTTTATAGAGTTACAATAGACGTACAACAACCTTTTGATTTTGGAGTTATCAGTGTCCGTGCACCAATGTGTGATCACCGTAGCGCTAAGCGGAGTCTTTGTTGGTATAATTTTGGTAACTATGATCTTTAATGAGCAGCAAAGTGTTGTTTTTATAAAAGAAAAAAGAATTCTTAAAGGTCATTCAAGGTCACATTCCCCTTTTAAACTACTGCCTCATCAACGCGCACGCCACAAGCTTTGACAAGGCAGGAGTTCGATTGGTTAACAGTCAAAAACCTCTTACAGCAATACTTAAGTCTGGTTGGTCAACAGTCATACACCTTTCAGCAGTGCTGCAGTCTGATTGGTAAACAGAGGATAAAGTCTACAGTTTGGTAAAGATGTTTTAAAGAAGAAATCAGTGTAATAAAGCACAAAAAAAAAAAAAAAAAAAAGACTGATGTAAGACAGATTTTCATTTGAGTTGAGAGTTCATCAGAAATTTGGTACTTTTTAAACGTACCTGTACATCGGTTCCCTCTAATTTGGTTACAGTAACGTCACTGTAACCAAGTGGCACATCTACCTGGAAACCTGAAGACGTCACAGCTGGTTTTACCATGTAAAGTCAAGCAGCCATATAAGCAAAGAAAGACATTCAGGATGATTCTTAGTATTCTTTGTAGTGGGCTTTAAATGGGTGAAAGAAAAAATGGGATGTTAAAAAGAAAAAAGGGGAAAAAGTTTTTAAAAATAGAAAAGAAAGTGCTCAACAAAATTCAAAAGGTTACAGCAATAAAAAAAAATAAAAAATAAAACAAACAAGGAGCCCTGTTAATCGTAATCGGTGCTTATTCAAGTCTTGATTCTTGGCTTTGTGTCTGCATTGCACTACACTCAAGTGAAGCAAAAAGCTGGGATACTGTTTCGTACTGTTAACTACCCAGTGAAGCATCAGCTCCTACACTACAGCATTTGCTTGGGGATACAATTATGACGAAAAAAACCTAAAGGTCTCTTTCTTCCTTTTATGAATGTTTTTATTAAAAATATGAGTCATCACTTTTGGAAAATGGACCAAGTTTTTAACCTCTCAGCATCTGCCAGCTCAAGCGTTTATGGTTAGGTGAAGGGAAAACAGCGATTCCAGGGTGAACTGATAAGACTTCGTGTGGCATGTGGCTAAAACAAAACCCTGAGCAGGTCATGAGTGATCCAGGAGACTGTCAGAAGCAGGAGGTTAAATCGTGTTTGGATTAGCCTGGTAAAACAGGAAGTGGATCTTTTTAGTTGCCATTTTTTTAAAGAAGTATTCCTTTTTAAAATTTTGATGGGCAAAAATGTATTTTCATTAAATGCATTTTACTCTTTATTTACTGGAACTACTTTCATCAGGACCAGTGCGTAGGAGTCCCGAAGCTCCATTAGCAGAAATGTATATGGCATTCATAGTTATGTTTACATTAGTGTATAAGCACATGTAACTACGCATTGCACATTTTTAGCTTAACTTTAGCCATTTGTAACTACACAGTGAGAGCTTGTCCTGCATCCAGAGCATCGAACCGTCAACTGGGTCAGACTAAGAAACCCAAAGACCGGCTTAAGAGAGAGCCTAACATGTGGTTGTAAGGATGTTTTCCCCAACCTCACTCTTAGATGCTACAAAATCCTACACACTGGTTGTTTAACTTGTGTGTCTGTGTCACAATAATGCACTCCGATTGGCTTGCTGTTTTTGTTTGTTTTTTTAAGAAAAATACAACATAAAACTGATGAAACCAACATGGATACAGGAACTTCCTGTTAGGTATTAAAATTAATTTCTTCTATTGCAAGGAACACATTAAACTTAGCACTTTAAAGGACAAACATTTGGTGAAGTTGTATTTGTTTTTAAGGATCAGAGCGAACGCTTAAATAATCAGGTTGGTCCTGTATTATTAGGCAGCTTTGCTTGTCTGTAAGCGCTTCACCTGCCAGCTATGAGCCCAGCAGGCAGAGAAGCAGTTTACCTGAAATGATGCAAACACGTCAGACTCCCAAATGAGCAGAAACACCACTTTTGTTCATGGATGGGCAGAAATTCTGCAACGCCTGTCTTTGCATTTCTGCATGTCTCCCTCTAGAGGCCGGAGGTCACACTACGCCCTCGCTTAAATATGTGACGTTTGCCAAATGTCTGCCCGTTTTAAAAGCACTAAAGAAAGAAAATAAACTTAATACACAAAAATGAAAACATTTCTTTAAATAGCAGCTCTTTAAAAAGGAATGACAACAAATATGATACAAAAGGAATAACAATGTCAACAACAACAACTTATTCAGCTCCATCATTCGCACCATCCCCATCATCATCATCAAATATGAAATCATGAAAACAAAAACAGTCTGACTCTATGGGCTCATTTTTTTATAGTGGTGGTGTTAAGCAGGGATTGTAGGTCACTGACAGCTCCAAGGTCAAGGGTCATTATAAGCCTGCAGCGGTGGGCTATCCACATCTGTGTATCCATTTGTCTGCCTGTGACTGGTGGCATCAGAAGAAGAGGGTCTTTGGCGGAGGCGAGGCATCATTAGCCACGCCAGCTGAGGTGGAGCCCAGGGATGAAGAGAAGAGGGCTTGTGACCCTTCTCCTCTTCATCACTCATCATTCATTAACCTGTCCTGTGCGTTGTCAATCTGCCCCACCCCCGGTTGCCCTCAGAGCTCCAGCTCCTTGGACACTTTGGTGGCAATGTCTCTAAAGGCTAACGGTGCCCCCCAGAGGCGCTTGAACTTTACACCGCTGCTCTGGCCCAGCCCGCTGGGCAGCTGGCAGACCTCGGCCTCGAAGGCCACGCGGGCCCCGGCTGCTCCGTGGGTGCAGGACAGGAGGAAAGGCCCGGCCAGGTGGACCTGGCAGCCGCAGCCCTGTGCCGCCTCACGCAGCGCAAGCACCACCTCGGCCGGGTCGCGGGGGCTCCGTACCCTCACATCCCAGCCGCATCGGGGGGTCCGGGGCTCGGCCGCTTTCTGATGCCCAGATAGATGGCGACTGAAAAGGTTAAGAAAAGGGAGGGGTGATGCAAATGGAGGAGATAGATGGAAAGTTTTTAAGAGAAGAGCAAAGGCAGAAGAAGAGATTTAAATGTAGGATGATGAATGGTAAAGTGTGAAGACAAGTGATTGAATGTGTGGTTGTGTGAGAATATGAGTGGTTAGGGGGAGGGGAGGAGAAGAAAGACAATTAATATCACACACATCACTGCATTTTGATTCTGTTCCTAGGACACAGATGAGTCAAAGTCTATTTTCTACACTAACACATAATTGCTGTTCAAATAAGATATGAAAATAAACATTTCTTCTTTAAAAATGTTTTATAATGAGTAACATGAAAGTGGTCAGTGTTCAGTGTAATCAATAATTATCGTCTGTAATGGACTTCTTGTTCTGGAGCAACACGTGACAACAAACAGCATAAAACCTGCTGGTAAAAAATATAATTTAATGCATTTTCTATTAGTCCAGCATTATAGTTCTATTATCTACCACAGGGAGACACACTCAGCATCTACCACCACAGTCCGTTTGCTAATGTTAGCCTGGTGCAGCTGGTTTACCTGCTGTTTTTAACCTGAGACTGGGCTGGAGCAGCTGAGGCTGAGAGGGAGCGCACACCAGTTTGAGTAAAATAAAAAGAGACCGAGACTCAGTTTACAGAGATTACAGTACAAGAAATGAATGCGACCTCTGAGCTATGATTCAGTGGTCTCATGTGGCTTTTGATTACTGACAAAAATATTTTTGAATTTCATCCAGAGGTGAAAAATATCTCTGTGTGCTGTGTGCTGGCCATGATTTCTGTTAAAGTATGTCTCATATAAATAATATGAAACAGCATGAGTGTGATTTCATCTCTGTAGCCTCTCAGTAACAAATAAATGAAGAAAAGAATAGACAGCAGTAACAGCCATTTATAGCAGGTCACATTTCTGATACAGAGGTTTACATACGTCTTTTTATTTTTTATTTAAGATGCTTGCAAGGAAGAGACTTTACATGATGTATCAAGTTTTGTATTTGCCTTTAAACTTAACAAAGACTTTAAGATGATCATGACTAGATGTGCTATAGCACATTATAGAGACTGTAGAGAGGGAATAGAGCAGGTCATTATACAATACACTGAAAAAACAAACCAAATTTTAATTATTCTTTATACTGCTGAGTAACTTAATCTATACCTAACAGTAAAGCCTAAGATTCTCTCCTTAATCTACACTACATGGATGGGATAATTTCCTTAATTAATAATTTGAATTTGAAAAATAATCGGTAACTAAAGCCTTAACAAATGCAGCGAAGCACCTTTTATCTGTAACAGTTCACAAGCGTTGACCTTTGGCGACAAATGTGACAGAGGCACTCACACTGCTGAGCTTTCTTATAAATAGCCTGATGCGTTTCATTATTCATGACCTGTTTCGGCTGCGTAAGGGGAAAAAAAACACTTTGTCGGGTATCGAGGGTTACTGCTGCAAACCTGCATCACATGTGAACCTGTGAATAGTGAAAACATGGCTCTGCTAACTGAACCCTGAATTCAGTGAGTGTGCACGATGTGTCTTTCTGCCTCCAGCGTGCTTCGACATGTTTCCGTGTGAAAAATAGCCTCTGTTGGAACTTTATTTCCTGTACTGGTTAAAACATGTTTACTCACCTTGTGACCGGAGATCTGCTGATTCTCTCAGGTTCGTCTGTGACCCTCAAGAAGAAAAAAAAAAATTTATCTGTTAGAAATCAATCGGCCAACCGCTTTCTCACACAACCCCTCCCCTTCTACACCCCCCACCCCCATTTCCTGTCAATCAGCAGCACAGCTAATGGACCAATCCACTAAACACGACACAGAACATGATCTTCAAATCACAGATGGATCACCGACCTGCACTCACTGCACTGAAACACTGGATGGATGTGAAACCACAAAAACCGACAAAACGAGTGAGAAGGATGAACAAATGCCGAGGGGGTGAATTTATGGCAGCAGACCAGGTCTCAACACATAGTTTGTGTTACACGACTCACGCAAACGCAGACTTTAATGCTGGTAGAAGCACAAATTAGTGAGTTACAAGATGCCAGCAGGGTACTCATAAGATAAATGTGTACTGACAGCTTTTTCACAGGCTTTACGACTGCATTTCACGACTTTTGTTTTAGCTTATACTGGACAAAGAGACTGCCATTTTCTACTCCTACTGCACTGCGAGTGGTCGTATGCATCCATTCACGCACACTCACGCAGACTACACATTCAGACAGTGCTCTATTCTGTGAACGCTCTTTTTTTATATGATACCCACACTCTCACGCTGATGGATGCATCAGCAGCAATTTGTGGTTCGGTGTCTCGCTGAGGACATTCAGACTAGAGGAGCCAGGGATTGAACCACCGGTCTTCCGGTTAGTAGATATAGGACACTATGACATAGAGCCTTCATCTGTAGTTTGGATTCAGGAGACAGAGCCCTTTCTAATTTTAAGATTAGGATTCAAACTTTCCTCTTTGATGAAGCTTATAGTTAGTTAGTTCCCATGATGCACTGAGCACTTCTTCTCCTCCTCCACCCTCTTTAATAGCTGCATGTCATTGACTTTCTGTCTGCTCTCTCCTGTAGTTTGTGCCGTCTCCAGGACCACATGATTTGCTACGATTACACTCACACAGACGGGCTGGTTAATACAGATCCCATCTGTGTCCACCGGGGGCCACTGTTGCTATTCACGCACTTGACTGATGGCTTCCTTCCCGCCAGCATGGCAACCTGATCTCTATTCCTGGAAATGGGGGTGACTTTGAAGGAGCCAGCAGTGAGTTTTCACTGACAGATTAAGTTTGAAAAATGAAACCTAATATGAACTAAGATGACCGTTGCTCTGACTAAGGAGCTGTTGTGGTGCAGAGGTTTTAATCAGGGCTAAACAAATGTTTAGATTGCGTAGCTCAATGTTTTGACTGCGTCACACAAAATAAAAAGTAGAGAGTGATCCGTCCTAATCCCCAGGAATAACCACTGGGATACACCTTTACGGGAAAAAGTTATCCAAGTAATTATTGAGCAAATATCTCGAGGGGAATTCTTTAGGTTTAAGAACACTAAACTTGACCATTATAATTGAAGAGTTTTGAGGTGCTCTATAAAGATTATGACCTTGACATCTTGTCTGTGTAAAGAACGAGAATAACACTCCTGCTCCTCCAAAACAAGGAGAATCACATCCTTATGAAGGAATTCAAGTGTTTTGAGAGCAACGAGTGTGGAGTGGCAGACTGACCAGACTCTGCTGTGAGTCAGTGACTGTGTGCAAACGCTAAAGTATGTAAACTGCAAAAAAACAGATTGTGTGGGGGAGAGAGAAGCAGAACAAAAAGAAGAGGACAAGGGAGAGGAAAAAAGACCGAAACTGGGACGAGAGACAGACAGAGACAATTTGCGGCAGTGTAACAGAACAATCTGCTGGTATCGTGAGGGAGAGCTGCGCGCAATCCCAGTTTAAGACACAGATAAACTGTGGTTATATAACTAATCCTGGTTTAAGACGGCAGTGATGCTGGGTCAGTCGGTTAGGATGACTGTAGCAGGCCCAGATGCTTCTTACAAGCCTCTTCGCCTGCGGAGCGCTAAGACGCACGCTGGGTACATTTACAGTCACGGTTCAACATATTTGTTGTATCGCATTAATTGTCAACAGTTACAGCATGATCCATTAGCTTTCTGACACCTTGTATACCATTACAGCAATCTCCACATTGCCTTAGTCTTAATTAAAACGTCCTGTGCATCCTGTGCACAGCCTTCTAGTCTCCTAATACCAACCTGAAAAACCCTTCAGACCTTTCCTCAGTTTGTTTGCTCTAGAAAGAATCCTTAGCTATGGACTGATGTCAAAAATACCTTTTTAAACACTTGAAATAATATTTTATAACATTAGATGTGAAGAAAAAATCAAGACAGTTATCTAGAAGTGGATAAAAGTGATATTTTTGACATACGTTGCTGCTAAAACCCATTCGGGAACGCACCATACGTCACACTTTTCAGAGGGATAGAACCTGCCTGTCTTCATCTCAGCTCTTCTTCCTTCACCCCCTGTGTCTTTCTTGTATAAAATACACCCCCCCCTTCCTTTCTGTCCTGGTTTCTCTGCTTTCTCTGAGAATCCAAAGCCCTGCTGCTGCACGACTGATGATTTGTTAACAGCATGGACAAACATATGGTGTTGATTTTGTGACTCAAAGTAGTGCAGTTGATCTGCAATAAACTCATACTCCAGGGAACGCACAAACATACACACACATCTCCATAGTGTTGTTTATTCTACACTCTGCATGAACAAGAGTGTGTGTGTTGCCCATGCGCTTGTTTGTGAGTAGTGATTTCTAGCTATAATAGCTAAAAGACCTAACATCCTACCTGATGGTAACATTTAAAGCCATACTACAGTAAAAAGGAAAACTTAAACATACATTTAAAATAGAAATAATTCACATTTATGTTGCTTTTAAGTGCTTTGCTAGAAGCAGGTAATGGTGCTGTGCTGTTTACAGCCTGTAGTGAGTGCTACAGCCTAAAGCTGAGCCACTGGAGATGGGAGGAGTGACAAAGAGACACTAAAGCAGACAGCAGCTGATCAGAGTTTTAGAAACACAAACACGCTGGTTTTGAGGTAAAGCTGCTCTACTGGAAGAAGCAACCATCAAACATTTCATCAGTGTGGACTAGGCCACAACGTTAAGTCACAGATCTGCAGAGTTTAGTCTTACTGCATTTCAACTTTCTAAAGGGAAGTTTGAATCCTGGATTTTTATAACCTTTTACGTCACTTAATGGAAACATAAAACCGAGTGTGTACAAACAGTGACCGAGCATGGGTGAATAAGCACATCAAGTAACATAAAAGGAGAAGATGTATCACAACAAATTTCTGCATGGTAAGCAAGTTAAGCGTGGGACTTTTAAAAAACCTTTTAATGCAGCAACAACTGTTTTTATCTGTTTTATGTATGAATGCACAATGAATAACCAGAAAACACAACGTAGCCCAAAGTTATGCACTATTATGTTTTGAGTACTCATTTATTTAAGTAAAAGATTTGATTGGACTTGATCCAGATAAGAAGATGGATGTATTGAAAATAATAAATAATAAAGAGATTTTACAAAAATAAAAATGTCTTTAATAAATCGAAGAACTTTTGAGCAGTTATGTCGATGCTGCAGATCAAATAGTGCTGACCAACATAAAGAAAGGCAGCATTTCACATGCACACTCAATGCTCACAAGAACCCCGCCTTTAGTCTATAAGCATATAGTGTATTTTAACAGCCTGCAATCACAAGACAAATATGCTTTATAACTAAATTCCAACTGCATATTAGGCTTTTTCATATTTTCTCTCACACGTATCCTGCAAACTGGTTCTGGGTTTGAATCCACTGGTGGGGGCGGACGTTTTGCATACATGTCTTTGGATAGTACTTCAAAGGTCATCTAAGATTTTTTAAGACCTGCTTATGTTATTTCCTTTATCAACTATTCTTCACTTTAAAAAAAAATCAAAATTTTGATTTTACCACCATGAAGCTAAAATATAAATTTTAGTGGAAATATTTGACTGAGACAGTTGACTTATTTATATTAATTACTACCTTTAGAGTAGCTTTGCCTCAGATAAAACTTCATATAACTAAACTCTGACCTGCAACAGTGGATGAGGGGTAGAGGGGATGACTGAGCACTGGCAGGCAGACAGACAGTCAGATGGACAGAAGCAGCCAGAAAACATGGGAAAGGAAGACTTACTAACTGTTTTTGTTCCCTGCGGGAGGGTGCAGCCCGACATGGACTTGTTTGAGCTCTGACGTTTAGAAGGGTCAAGAGTGACCCTAGGAGGAGAGAGGAAGAAGAGAAGGAGGTGAAGAGAGGATGAGAGGAATGGAAAAAAATGGAAAATTGAAAGTTTTTGAAAGAGAGACGTGAGTGGAAGAAAAAGCAAGTGAAGGGGTAGACAACACAGAGTGACAGTAAGAAGCACAGGTAGAAGAGGTGAAGAATTCAACATCAGGTACTGTAGTTCAAGAAAAGAAGGATAGAAGACTGGAAGGTGACTGGCGAGAAAAAGCCAAAGTGGTTAAAGAATCAAACAAACAAACAGATAAAGCAACAATAAGCAGCCAAGAACAACCGTGAAAGACATACAGTGTGTCCACCTAGCGCGCAGACCTGGGTCAGATAGGTTATCATTTACCTTTTTAGCTTTAATTGCCAGTAAGGTGCAGTAAGGCGGAGGTGCCTCAGGAATACAGTTCATGGGAGGAACTGAAAAAAGGAGGTAACCATGCTGAATAAAATCGAATTTTTATAAATTTAAACCGGTCTTCATATACTGTCCATCGATGTCGCAGGATTGTGTGGATGTGTGTGTTTACTGTTGGTTTACTGTTACATGCAGACAGCTTTACTTCTTCAGGACAGAGTAATTCATATTTTGTCTTGTAGTGTAGTAAGATGTACACACTTGGAACATTACACAGCCCCCACACTCAAATCTAAATAACTAAAAATGAATTAGTGCAGTAAACGGTAACTTTAGTATTCTGTGATGTTTGAATCTGTGGTTAGCAGTGGGTGGATTTTTCCATGAAGATGTGGATGTGGCGAAAAAAAAAGACTGAGAATCTTGAATGTGAGAAAATTAAATTGGCGAACAATATTTGAACACTATTAGACCCAGGTCTGACACTCCGGAGGACAAGTTCTGAAGCCTGTAAAGCTGAATTATTAGAGAAGGAAGGCTGGTAGGTTAGTACTTGTTAAGGAGACGTGACAGGCAGCAAGGTTATCGAAATGATCTTCATGTGCAGAACTACACTGTCTAGTTGTAAGCTCATAATCAGACGGGCCTGTACTGTCACTTTACCACAACGATTAGCAGTATTACTAAACATTTAACAAAAATACGTGCAGATTTATTAACAAGCCACTGTTTTTCTACCAGTTAGCCCCGTCCACTCCCTGTTTCTTTGTTACTTAAAGCTTTCAAAAACAGTAAGACTTGACATTCAAACATCTAGCTTCTCCTCTTACCTGCGAGTCAGCTTGGAGGTGATTTTGCTGAGCAGGTTGGTCGTACCCCGGGTCCTGGCATGGGGCAGTGGGCTGGCATCGTGGGACAGCGTAGGAGACGCTGGAGGAGCGTGAGAGGGAGGCCGGCGGTCTCTAATCTGCCCTCCGTGAAAAGTGCTCCTCACTGTGGATCCCCGGGACAGACGGGAGGAAGGCGTGGAGGATGAGGAGGAGGTCCCAGAGGCACCTGCAATGCTGTGGGTAGAGGGGGAGGCAGGGGGGAGGCGGTGGGATGTGGAACTGGAGAGGTGGGTGAGGGTGGAGAAGTTGCAAGTTAGACTATTAGAACAAGTGCAACTGTTCAGGAACCATACAAGCACCAAACCATTTATACATATTTGATTACGGCTTTTCCAAACATCTGGAAGGAAGCGCGTTCAACATAAACAGAATCAAACCAGAGAAGTTACATTCACATTATAACTGCAGCGTAGGCTGTTTGAGCCAGTGTTAGGCAACAATCACAAAACTGCGCATTTTCACTTCACTTTCAGACCCCAAATAGATCAGTGTGACCCATCTTCACTGGAAAAACACGCCACCTCGAGCAGTGATGTGACTCACTGATGTGTTTGTGACAAACAAAGGCTCGAATGAATCGGTGGCAGAAAACACTCGATAGCAAAATAAGAATTTTTCATCTTTCATTTGGATTTTTTGACATCAAGTGCAGATTATTAGCAGACTTATGGCTTTAAGTTGGATTTAACATGCCAAGTGCATTTAAAAACACTTAATCATTACGTAACTGGGTTTCTTCATGGCTTAAACTGGGGTTAAAGACAAGCTCCATCTTTAGTTTGCAGTATTAAACAAAATCTATGGACACTGATAACTGGCTGGCTGATAAAAGGTGAATTATCCTTGAGTATATTTAACAACCTAACAATTTAAAAATAATTATTTGTCCGGTTTGATTTTACAATTCTAATCAAAGACGTCAACAGGTGAAATTATAATGAGCTGTTCGCAAACAGACTTTATTTCAGACTTTTCAAGAAAAATGAAAAGTCTGAAATAAAGTCTAAAAGTAAAAGACAGAAAGACCAGCAGAGCTAGCTGTCATACATTTCACACAGGTTGTTTTCTAACCTGAAAATTAACCCAAAATATTCTCTCTCTCGTGAGCGCCTGCATGCCCCACTACCTCATGTCCAGTTCCCCTCTCCTGTCACACATTTATGCACCTACGCACATAAACCACATCCACACACACACCTCTCCACCCCTGACTCTCAGGCTGGCTGGTGGCCTGAGGCTGCTTTTCATAACGCTCTAGATAACACCCACACACAGGGTTCAAGTGGGACAGAGCCATTAGATGGGTTAAGCTGAAGCGCAGCCGTTGCAGAGCAAAATCGTTTAGCGTCAATGTGAACTGGCTGCCTACTGAGGCTCACCTCAGGGGGCACACGGGGGCTGGAGAGAGCAGAGGACAGCGGGACGGGGGATGGTTGAAAAAAAATACATTTTCTGTTCTGTAGCTGTGTGTGGTTTTGTACACAAGTTTCACCAGTGCCTCAAACTAATGTCAGTGCTTGATTAGTTAAAGCAGAGATGTCAAACTTAAGGCCCGGGGACCAGAATGGGCTCGGCAAAGACTCCTATCCCACCCAGTGGATCGCTCTGGAAAATAAACTTTTTCTGAGGTTTTAATAGTTTTCCTACTGATGAAGACCTCCCCTCTGGCCATTGGTATAATACCAACGTAATTAAGAATTAGTTAAACAATTAAAGATTTACAGATGTCTTAATCGGTCACAGACATTTCAGTTTTTTTATAATAGGGGTCACCATTAAAAAAACAAAAACAAACCTGAGGCATACTGTTGAAAATGTTCCCTCCTATATTGAGATATTTTGAGGATTAAACATGTAATTAAGCTTGTTTACATTGACAGATAGGGGAGTTTTATTGGTCTGACCCATTTAAGATAAAAATGGGCTGTAAAATGTAAAATGTAAAATAAGTTTGACATCCCAGAGTTTGAGGAACTCCTCTGATTTCTGTTTTTAATGTATACATGGATTATTACAGCTGACCCATTGCTCTTTTCATATACCAAAGAGCATCTGCATTATGTCCTGATAATGAAGTCCCTTATCTTCCAGTCTTATCACAAGCTGACCTCAAACATGAACTTTGGACAGTGTCTGAGGAATCCGGGACACAGCTTCCCTTTCTCACATGTAGCACGCCCCAGGAAATGACCCGCCTAATGCTTTGTCATTACTGCAAATACTTTGTGTGCTTTAGGTAAGGGAGTTGCCCTGGTAGAGCGTGCAGGAGGCAGGACACATGATGCCCACTTGCTAGCTGTAAATGCACTCAGCTATTACCCGCCCTGGTCACACATCAATCCCCAGAATCCGATGTCCTAGGTTGCTGGCAGGTTAGAAATCAGCTAATATTCGATCTGACTGCATCAGATATTTGTGCTCTCACATGCACTTCTGTGAGGTGAGGCCTTGAAATGTTCAGGGCTGCAGCGCATTTGTGAAAACAGTTTCTTCACACATAGTTTGAGCTCAGCGGAGGACCTGATGTAGGCAATCAACAAATGAACAGTCACGTAAATTCAAGTACCGAACATGCGCCGTATTTTGGGCTTTTATTCTGATCTTTTAGGACTACAGGTTAGACAGTTTTCATGTACAATTTGTGCGTGTGTTTGTTCTTCCATGCACGTGATTTTCCCATCAACCACTCTGGCATGGCATCACATTGACAAGGCCTCTGAGGCAAATGGAGGGTTATGTTGGTGCAACGCCAGTCCTCACTTCATCCTGCTGCTCCCTCCTGTTCACCTCCTCTCCCGTCTCTTCCTCCCCCCTCTGCTTTCTCTTCTCCTCAACCTTCCTTTGTTTAGAGCAGACATTTATCCTGCACGCTCTAACACCACCTGTTAAATCATAACAGTGAGCTACAGCAGAGGATGCTGCCTCGGTGCAATGCCTAAATCGAACAGTGTGGGGTGTGTCGTCTTCTCTGCTCGCAGGAGAGTAAGCGTCTCCTGAACAGCAGTGATTCAGCGTTTCATCCAAATCACCAGTTGATGTTTTTTGTTTTTTAACCCTCTTCCTCGTATCTATTTTGAAAAGCATGATGGTAGGTAGACACGTTTGTGCGGTTTACTGATGTCACACTGTTGGCATTTTTTTCATACCAACATTCACTACTTCTTTGTCGCCATCATATGATACCCCCTCCTACCAAAAATGATTTGCACAAACACTTCATTCATTTTTTGTGCGCTGATTTGACTAAGATCTGAAAACTTGTATGCACTTGATACACCCTTCGCCTGGCCTACCCCTAACTGCCCCATGTGTGCAAATGTTTTTACTGGAGGTCAGACAGCAGACAGAAACCTTCAGGCTCTCCCTCTGAGAGACAAAATTAAAGCGTGATAAAGAGACAGAGGCGCAGAAAACAGGGCAGACAGACTGAAAGTGAGACAGTGACCACAGGAAAAGAGAGAGAGAGTGAAGTAGAGTGAGACAGACACAGCAAGAGAGGGGACGTTGACTGCCATGCTCAGAGACCGACAAGGAGACAACCATCTGTCGTAACAACAGACAGTTCACACTGGGTACACAGAGCTGCACACAGAACAAAGACAAAGCCACTGATGTGCAGTGTTAAGCCCTTCATCCTGTCTTGAAGAGACAAAATGTGTGTGTGAAACATGCTAAGCTTTGTGCTAAAAGGGGACAAGCTGTACCAGTCAAACCGGTCTTTACAAAACTTATCACAGTGACATGTTCCACTGTACTTGCAATTAATACAAACGCATTTCCCAAAGTGTTGAAAATAGTTAAAATAGATGCAATGTGCCGGCGAAACCAGCCATTTAATCACCAGCCTGAGCTTCAATTCTATACTTAACTCACTGCCTTTAAGGCTCTTCAGGGACAAAATGGGTGTAATTTAGAGCTGTTTGAACTGAGGTGAGGGTGTAGCTATCCAGACCTAACAGTCTGTAAATGTAAGCCAGAGATTTTTATCATATTTAAACAAAATTCTGATCTGAGGTTTGAAGTGCGGGCGATTTATCGGGCTGTGTTCTACTAATAAATATATTGATATACATGAATGCTACTGAATGTGGTCCAAATTCACGCAAATAAAGCTAATCTGCCCCCTTTCAGTTTAAAATCGGGGCGATCGTGGCTCAAGAGTTAGGAGTTCGCCTTGTAATCGGAAGGTTGCCAGTTCGAGCCCCAGCTTGGACAGTCTCGGTCGTTGTGTCCTTGGGCAAGACACTTCACCCGTTGCCTACTGGTGGTGGTCAGAGGGCCCGGTGGCGCCAGTGTCCGGCAGCCTCGCCTCTGTCAGTGCGCCCCAGGGTGGCTGTGGCTACAACGTAGCTGCCATCACCAGTGTGTGAATGTGTGTGTGAATGGGTGGATGACTGGATATGTAAAGCGCTTTGGGGTCCTTAGGGACTAGTAAAGCGCTATATAAATACAGGCCATTTACCATTTAAAATGATTTCAGAAGAGGCCTCTAGGGAAATAGTGAAGAAACAAATTGTCTGCTTTTTGAAAGATCTCATTAGTACCTGCTGGGTGGATCTTATACTTCATATACACATTTGCAACTCTCACCTGTTTTCCTTGCCGTTTTGTAGCAGGGCGTGTCTATCAGAGTTGGATCGGTCTGTGCACACATACGTGTTCCTTCGAGTCATAGCACTAGCAGGGATGTTATTCTGGAGGAGGAGAAAAGCCTGTAAATTATGTGAGATTATGTGAAAACAAAGATTGCCCTGGATTGACCTCTGAGCTCTGCCTGTATCTGCCGTGGAGAACATTAAAGAGTTAATCTCAGATTATTCTGACTGCAGTCTTCAACCCTTTGCATGCAAACTATGCTCTTCATTTCTCATGATTAATTTCTAATTTGATGATTTATCTCAAAACATGTAATAGTTTTACTTCTCTGATTGTCTCCAGTCTGTGGAGGATATTTTATTTTTGGTTCCCATTATATTTATTTTAATGTAGCCTTAAAGGGCTGTAATCTGAGGTAATTGGATTAGGTGGAGTGTTAGGGCTCTGCCATCTGTTGTATTGATAAGGGGGTTAAAAAGTGACAGATTAGATTCACTAGACGGTTCCTCCCACCCGCACATAAACCTTTTGGGCTTACCGTGGTTGAGTTAACCTCCTTACGCCGGTCAGGTATCTCAGATTTATTTGGGTTGTGAGCAGAGCTAACCATGGGACTGGAGGGGGTGGGGATGCTACGGGAGCCAACAGTGTTGGTGCTTGGCTTGCGTATCGACAGCCGCTCCTCTCTAAGCCCCGCCCCTTCAGCTACGCCGCTGGGACTTCGTTTTGGGTGTGTTGATCCTGGAACAGCTGGACCGCCTAACAGAGCAAAGGTTCTCAGTGAGCTAAATTTATGCAGATTCAAAGTCTCAAGATGAATAGAAACAAATAAAAGTCATCAGTATTTTGCCTTACAGAAATCAGAGTGTCGTCTCTGGCGGTGGTACGTGGAGGCACTGCGCTGTGCCTTATGGCCAGAAGAGGAAGACTGTGCACCCGAGGAGCAAGAAGAAGTGGAGTGCTTGCTTGTTCCGTTGGTGATGCCGCCAGGCCGGATTCGAGCCAGACTTAAAGTGCTGCTAGACCGAGAGTCAGTGACCTCCGTCTGAGATACAGACATGCACAGACACACAAACGATATAAAATTACAACTGGACTCGATCATTGATCTTCATCAACCGAGAGCAACAGAGGCCAGTTCATATGTCAGTCTTAATTAGTCTGGGTGTCATGACTGTAGCACATCACAAGTGTAAACAAATTAGGAAGCGATGGCACCAAAACTATCTTCTCAACCCTGTTTTACTGCTATGTAAGCATAATATCTAAGTATTAACCATGACAGCTTATTAACAGCTTCATCGTAAGGTCAGGAGCAAAGGAAACGATTTACCTCCGTCTTGCGTCCCAGCAGCAGGTATGTGGCAGTGAGCTCATTGTATTTTCGATTGGCCAGCGCATCTCTGATCTCTTCTCTGGTGAATCCCATCCCAATCATCACATCTAAAACAAAAAAATACTTCAGAACTTCTGTACAACGAAACGTTCTGGACAGTTTAAAATTATGGTGCTAAATGGTAACATTGTACTGACATTTTACTTAAGAGGCTTAGCCTATAATATTCCAGTGTTTGCTCAAGAGCTGAAAATTAGGCCACTTTTGAACATCAAGGCACCCACTATTATTTTTTATCTTAACCTCCCACTGAATAAAGAGGAATGCCTCCAAAGGTTTAGGGATAAAAACTCTGCCTATAGGACCTTACTGAATATTTCTTTAACCCTTCATTTCAGTAACCTCATGAAAAGATATCATTTAATGTTAAATTATTAAGAAAACATTAGTGATTAAGATATTTCTCACCAATGCGGCCGGTATCGTTAAAGTCTTCCACAGGCTCCATGTGAGGCTTCAGCTCATCGCCATCATGGCCAATATTAATCCACTTGTCTTTCATTATTTGCTAGTCATGAAAGAAAATGAGAGAAAACACAGAAAGCTTAAAACTGCCATGTTTGATTTAAAAAAAACATCACAAATCTGACATTTATATTTTCTTTTTGGATATTTTCTGTGTATGCGCCTTGGATTTATTCCACTAAATGTGCAATAAACCTGTCTTCACCTCCAGCGAGCAGCGCTTGGTGGGGTTGAGGACCAGGAAGCGGCGAAGGATTCCCTCGCAGTCCGTTGACATGTAGAAGGGCACGCGATATTTCCCCCTCAAAACACGCTCTCTCAGCTCCTGAACACAACACACATCCGGACACCATTAGTTTAAACTACAGGTGCACTAAGACATCAACAAAAAAAACAATAACACAATTAAATGGAAGTTTATTGTTTTTCAGAATTGTACATTATGTGATCCTGCAGCTGTAAATGGGCTAAATGTAGAGAGAACTGAGATTAAGAGCTATTTATAATGACTTCAGACAAATTAAAACTAGTTAACATTGTAAATGTAAACTACAAGGTTCGTTTTTGCGAAACTGTTTAAATTTCTCCTATAATCTGGGCTTCAGAGGCACGTGACTGTGTCTAAATTAATGCACAAAAACATCTCCGTGATGGATTATTCTCAAAAAATAAAAAATAAATGAAAAAAAATCAAACAGATAAGGCTGTAAGCTCTGAGCCACCTCAAATGACATTTCAATCTGAAAAACTCTGGCCTGATGTCACCCACCTTTAGGTTCTGTCCGTCAAAGGGCAGGGACCCGCTGACAAGCGTGTACAGAATTACCCCCAGGCTCCAGATGTCCACCTCTGGACCGTCATACTTCTTCCCCTGGAAGAGCTCGGGGGCAGCATAGGGCGGGGAGCCACAGAACGTGTCCAGTTTATTACCCGTCATGAACTCATTACTGAAGCCAAAGTCGGCTATTTTAATGTTGGAGTCGGCGTCTAGAAGCAAGTTCTCCGCCTGCAGCAAACATGGTAGACAGCGGAAAACTCTGAATACAGACAAGGTTCATAAACTCAAGAATAACTGACTATTATTTTGAATCTATAACACACTTTGGGCCTAAATTAAGCTTTGTAGCTTTGAAAATGTTACAGGTAATTCAGTAAATTCTGTAAATAATTTACACTTATCTAAAAGGAGGAATTCTTAATATCTTGTGCCAAGATTCTGGGTAATCACCTTCAAGTCTCTGTGAACAATGTTCTTCTGATGACAGTAGTGCACCGCTGAAACAATCTAAGGAGACAGAAATACAAAATGAGCTCATACAAGAGAACATAACTGAACCTAATGTTGTCCTTCAAATGAATGGCTCCTATACTACAAGCTCAATTCAAAGATGCCAATGCCCGCTTTCTAAACTAAATTCATAAATAAATTGATAAATCCTTTAAAACTGAAAGACTAGCTGTGCATCAGGTTTAGGCTGTGTCACACTCAGACATACGGTTGAGGCCAGCTGTGGAGTTTCACTGACCTGTCTGAACTTGGCTCTGGCCTCTTTCTCCTTCATCCTGCCATGAGCCACGAGGTAGTCGAACACTTCCCCTGAAAAAACACAAAAACATTGAAAACTTCCTGTATTTAAAGTGGGCGTGGAAGTCACCAGTCGGACTGTTAAAGGCATTGTTGGGCGATCGTGGCTCAAGAGTTGGGAGTTCGCCTTGTAATCGGAAGGTTGCCGGTTCGAGCCCCGGCTTGGACAGTCTCGGTCGTTGTGTCTTTGGGCAAGACACTTACTGGTGGTGGTCAGAGGGCCCGGTGGCGCCAGTGGGGTCCTTAGGGACTAGTAAAGCGCTATACAAATACAGGCCATTTATTGTTCTTATTTAATGAACCACCCATTAACAAAGACTAAGAATGATTTAAAAAAAAAAAAAATTTGCAGTACTTAAATAATTCTCAGTTTTTTCAACACTCAATCTACTATCATTAGACTGCATTAAAATTTGAGGATTGTAGTGAGTGGGTTTACAAATGTGCCAAACAACATTTGGTTCAAAATCAGAAGGAGACAAAAATCTCTTTAGCGTTGCATCAGGAGGGGAAAAGATTTGTAAAATTTGTCAAATCATATGTGCCGTTTCCTGCTGTAGTGACTCCTTGAGAATAAGGGACCAAAAGCAGCATCAGTGCATTTAAAACATCACAGAAGTTATTAATTCGACTTATTAAATTCAGCAATTTTCACAGATTGCGGATCCATCCAGAGAGCCCTTTGGCAGCCCGGCTTTGGACACTGGGCCATCTCGTGTTTTAGAGCATTTATGGCCATCGCGGCCTTGCCGTATTGGTCCATTTGATCGACCTTTGTTGTTGTTATTTATTTTATTTTCAGTTGTTACAGACGGGACAGACATGACTGAGGGATAGGAAAGGGAGAAAGAAAAAGACAAGAAAACAAGCAAAAAAAAACAAAAAACAGAGCAACATACTAAACACAACACCATCGCATTAATCTAGCTAAGTGTAAACAGCAGTAAATACTAAATATTGAATGTTGTTGTGCAGCACGCAGGACCGACAGCACACAATGTGCCTTGAAGTATCAGTCAAGAAATGTGTAGTTTATGTCTATGAACAGTGAACACCCGTGTGCACACCTGTGTGGATCAGCGCGCTTGTATTCAAAAGGTTTCCCCATGTAACGATCTGCTAGAGGATGTAGAGAGCCATAGCCCCGTCCCCCAGGGCATGAAGCAGGCATGCAGGAGATCCAGGCTCCAGACATCCAGAGGCCCCAGAGTGCGAGAGCCCAAGGAGGACCACCGGAGGGGCTTCCGTGCCACCCTCCTGTGCAGAGCTGAGGAGAGCCCCAGATGAGGGGTCACCCAGTAGTCACGGAGCAGAAGCCAGAGGGGGCTGCACCGGCGTGCCCGCCGGCTCTGCCGGCAGCCAGCTGTGCCAGAGTGAATCGAGCCGCAGGCCTAGAGGCCGGAGGCCCGAGGGCCCCCTTTGCCTCGGAAGAGGCCTGACCGAGCAACAGGCGCCATGATATAAGCAAAGTAATTGGACACACTATATTCGGGAAACATAAAGTATGAAATCCTTTTGTTTACCCGTCCTCCCTCTAAACATTTAATTTGTTAAACAATGAAGCAGGCTGAGCTGATCTGAGCTGCATGTCTGCTGGTGAGCTGATGTCTCCTTATTAGGCATTGTAAGTAAGAGATCACACAACATACAGAGAGAGCAGGGAAGAGAGATTAAGGGATCACGAAGACAGAAGAAAAAAAAATAAAGACGCTGCAAAAATAGATTAGTGCCTGGGAAACTGCTGAACAATGGCTGAGTGCAAGATGAATAGAGGAACAGCTCCGAAAAAGACGGAGGAGAAAACATTAAAGTAGTGAAGCAAGACCTCACTAATGCAAATGGAGTAAATACTCTAAGTTAATTATCTCTTTGGTTGGACTGTACAGTTCAGAAGTAATGAAGCTAATTGGCACAAATCTATACTTGGCAATGCAGATGAGGGAGGTGATGGTGTCACTCACCTCCGCTAGCGTATTCCATAATCAGGTAAAGTGTCTTCTCGGTCTCAATCACCTCAAATAACTGGACTGTAATACACAGAGAAAGATTTCAGCGCAAAGGCCATCGTGGAAACATACATATAGAACAAAAAGTTGTGCGGGTTGACTCACCTATGTTTGGATGGTTCAGAGTTTTCATGATGCGTACCTCTCGAAACACCTGAACAGGAGAGGAAGAAAAAGAAATCTCAAATGGATACATGATGCAAACGCATGTAAAGGATGAAGGTCATTTAAACTGCTGCTTTTGGTCAATCGTGCCGTGAAAATAACAGCAAAGTAGGAGCCGTTTATTTGTGGAAGAACACAAAATCAAAAAATGCTTTTATTAATTTTAAATGAACCGTTTAACCTGTCATAGGGACAACACACACTTAATGAGGATACAGAGGAAACTGTCAGAATCGCAGCTATTTTTAATCTGGCTATTTATAGATTTCACAATAATAAACTTATAAAAGAAGACACAGCAATTAAAACTACATCAAACTTGATGAATTTAATCTACATCTGAATCTCTTTCAAAGTACTACTTTTATTTTGTTTGTAGCTGAGGTCAGGTCAAGAAAAGGGCAGGAATTCAGGTATATCCATCATTACTCTAATTTATTCTCCAAATGAACAGTTAGTTCATACAGTTCACAGCTGGTGTATATACTGCTCCATCATTCATCTTATCCCTCCTCACCCACACCCACACACACAGACGCTCATCTTTCTGACCACTAGTGCTCGGGGTCACCCAAGGGAGCGTCCCACTGATGCTAGGCTGACAATAAGGCCTCCTCTCCAGGGTGGCTTTCCCTGAGGACCCTCCCTACCCCCCTCCCAATCCATCACTGAGCTCCAGACTGCTGCCTCATCCTGCCACTCTTATGCAATCACCCTCTCTCTCTCTCTTTTTCCTTCCATCTCATTAAAGTAATGCATTTGACTGGGAACACCATTTAAAAGATTACAGAGAGAATGTGCCAGGACTCACAGTGAGACATCCCAATGGCGAGTCATAAATTTTTTTTAAAAACACTCATTTCACCACAGAAATGAATCAACATCAGAGAAAACTTCAAACAAACCACCTGCACACTGAACAAATGCAATTAACTCCATTCATCAGTCATCAGTTAGGTTTCATTTTGTTATTCGTAACTATGAAGGGGGAATGGGGCTTCACTGACAAGAGTGTTTCAGCGAAGCTAAGAAAACATGCTAAACTAAACAGAGGTATAGAAACATATATATTACTGTTTGTGTCATTTTCCCTATTCAGAGCGCTGCCGCAAACCTGCCTCATTAACAATTCTTTGAGAAAATATTACACATGAGTGAAAAAAGTGAAAGCATGGAAAAAGAACAAAAGACAGAGAGAAAAGCCAGTGAAAAGAACCAGAATACAAAAACAGGAATGCTCCGATGCCTTCATTCTGGTCGCAGAACCTCAGCTGCCCTGGGAAACGCGCTCCTCCCTTATCTCGCCCTCTCACTCTCTGACTTTTCATCGAACAGAAAACCCAACGCCACTCATGTTTTCACGTCAGCTTCAGGCTTATAATTCCATTTTGAATCTCTGCATCTTTTCATCTAACAATACATAATTAAACGAAGGATATTTCAGATGACATACCGGCTTTTTTCTGCAAGTATGAATACACGTATAATTTGAGAGTTTGTACTGCTTTCTCCACCGTTCCGTCATATTACACACTAAACAATGAGTTTCTACACATAAATCTTTAACAGACATTTGCTTACTTACAAGAATTTAAAAAAACAACACATGTCCCAATTTAAAACCATTACTTATCCAGTAATCCTGGGATTAGTCTGTGTACATTTATCTACATACGCTGCAGATTCACAGAAATTCAATTTTACAGCAGGCTGGTTTACTGCTAAAAACAAATCGTCGAGAGTCTCAAGTATTTAGCCCGTGGTCGGGGTTGTCCCCTTTAGAGGTGGTCCTGAGGGTCATCGACCCATTATTGATCATCCGAGTCTTCACATGAGCCGAGGTGTTAAGCTCTCAAGACTACTTGACCTGGTAGACTGAGAGGTTACACAGACATGCATCCCAGGAATTTGCTTTTTCACATTGCGATAAAAAACGTTCCCCGACGACATTACAGTCACCTGAGGCAGCAGTGCTTTACGTGCCTGCACCTGTGTCGGAGAGATTCCTCGTAGCCAGTGGACCCAGAAGAAAATAAACACTTTGGTTTGCCTACATAAGAAAACGTCCTCTCACAGACTGATTCGCATTAGAGCAGCCAACACAGAAGCTTCCCGTTTGTTGTCGACTGGTCAAAAGTGTGACAAAGAGCTAACAGCCAAGATGCAAGAAGTGTTAAACTAATTTAAGAGTTTACGCTTTGACACACAGGAAGAACTGGATATGAATGTCAAACATGCAATGACAGTAAACAGAGTTGAAAACAACAGGAAAAGGAGACATAAAACAGAAAGCATTAATATGAATAAAAAGCAATAAAACACCTAACAACACTAAATCATAAACACGTCTGAAATTTCACTTTTTTTGAGTTTTGGATCCTCGGTCACACAGAATAAGTCACCTTAAGATAAAACCAAGGCTGTGACACTAACTGATTGGAAAAGAAACATGACAGACTGATCAATTGATAATGAAGTGCAACAGTTAACAGATTTGTATTAATGATTCGAAGAAACAGCTCTCAGATGTGAACGTGTGTGGCAAAGAGCCACGCTGTGTAGGAGACGCATTCACACATAAGAACCACAGAGGATGTTCTCTAATGTGTTATTAACACGAGTTTCTCTTCTTCTGTTAGATATTTTATCTATCCTGTGCTCCTAAAATGGGAAACTGCATTGTCAGAAACACAGACACAGTGAGTCCAGTGGGAGTGTGTGTAATTGAATTAGGTGCACCGTGCATCAGCTGTTCATCTGAGCTTTAAGAAGTATTATCAGTTAAGCCTGTCCTCCCTCACCGGCACACTCATTCACCTCTCTCCTTCTCCTCCATACTCAACTAACCCTCGCTCTCCCACATTTTCTCTCCTTTTTCTTGCCTGCTCGGTCTTCCAAGTGAGAAATCAATCTGTGAGCGCTGCTTGCTGAGATGTTGCATATTTAAAGATGTGAATGACATCTGGGAATTGTTTCCAAAATGGGGGTATGTGTGAAAGGAGACTTTAGCAGCTGGCCAGGAAATTGCTGAGTCACCAGTATTGATCCATTTAATCCTCAGCTGTGCTGCTGTAGAGGCAATAATGAAGATTCTTATTGCACTTTAGGTCCATTTTGAAGATTACTAAGAATTAGCGTAATGTTATAAAGGTTTTTTTGGATTGTGATTAAATGCATAATTAATTTCAATATTTGTGTGCCTTCTTAAATTCATACTCCATTTAATCACTTCCTGGGTCTCTCTCACGGTGATGGCTCCGCGTCACAGTTGCCATGCAAACCCAGGTAATAATCCCTGGATCTCCTGCTGCCCAGGGGATTGTGGGAAGTCATGAAATGCCAAACACATGCGAAGACACAGACCCACAGCTACTGCCATATGGTCCTTTTATAGCAAAATATTGATTTTGGGTCTAAAATTTTCAGGTTTAGAAAGCGAATTGTTCACCAAATGCAAATATTTACACAGGAAATTAAACTGCATTCTGAATGCAGCCTTCACGTTCCCTGCCTTCTCCTTGTGTTTTTTTCTAAGCAGCTTTATTTTCTTCTTAAATGCATTTCTGCATTTTTTGTCACCCTTTATTTCTCTCTCCTTGCCAGGACACAGAATTCAGTGTTGCTTTTCTGAGGATTTACACTAAGCAACTTAATGACCCACTGCTGCAGATTTTTACTCTTTCTCATAATGTGAGGAGTACTGCACACTTTTGATTCATGTGTCTGGTCTGCCAAGTCTATTAGCCTTTGACCAGTTCATCCATGCTGGGTGTCTGTTTTCTCCCCCTAACCATCCGGACAAGTATGCTCTCACAAACACACACAGAGTTAGCGAAGGAGCAGAAAGAAAGCAAACAAGCTGAAATAGAGAAATGAGGTATTGATAACTGGCCCCTTCAAATATCCACTGCAGGGTGTACAGTTTAACACACTAAAGAACTCAAACCATGAAACACACTTCCTCTCGTCAGCTGAAGCCAATCACAAGACCAGAGAATCTGAGGGGAAAAAAGGGAAGAGAGTGAAAGACAAAGAGCAGCAGAATGATGGTGACGAATAAACTCTCCACTCCCACGTCAGAGTACTTGCTGTGAATAACCCTCTATCTGTGAGTGTGTGAACACTGAATGAGAGAGCCCCGCTCCTGAGCCCATGAAACATGGACGTCAGTCTGTTGTTGGGAACTACTCGCTCTAAAACTTAGCACGACGCATCGTCTGTGTGTTTATGTGCGTTCTGTCGTGTCCCTGTATATTAACTGTAAAGCTTTACGTAACCCACAGTTCAGCTCAAATTGGCATGTTTACATCTTATTATTTTATACTGAAATCCATTACCGTGAGCTGTCCGCGTGAAATAAACACATTTAAAAACTGCATTTGTGTCACGCCCACAGGCTTTTAGGCACCAGCCCTCTTCAAACAAAAAACACAATTAATGCCATTTTGCCCTTCAGCACGGCACAGTTCGATCAAAGGCGGTCCATGTGCACAAAACACTACAGATCATTTGGTGTTCCTGATGTGTTAGCAACAGTTTGCTGAGATACTGTTGCTGCTGATGTATTAAAAATACACTTTAGCCTTGTAGCTTAAGGGGAACTTCTTTCTCTCATGTCCAGCTTCATATTTGTATTTTCTGATTGCACTGAAGAAGCTTTGCATGATTCACAGTTCAAAATAATCATTGTTCATCTTGTACTGGATCTTGGTGCAGCTCCTCAGTTCAGAACAAAGTGTTTTAGTTTCTTCCCCTTTAAGGCCAAGCTCTTGCAACCACTTTAATTTCTGATTAGCTGCCCTTCGTATACAAAATGTTTGGTCATTGTACGAGATGAAGTTGGGTTTTTTGCTTTAAAGGCTGAGGTAACAGCTGATGTGTGTGGACTCCAAGTGTTTTCTCTTTCAGATGAAGAAATAATAATAATAATAATAATAATAATAATAATAATAATAATAATAGCAGCAGCATCATTTCAGATCTGGATAA